ATGTCTATATATAAAAGACTGCATTGGCGCTTCGCGCCATGCACCTTGGTCCGATGAGTGGACGGTGCAGGCAGACTAAGAGAGGCAAGCCGATCAAGACAGAAATCGTTTCTGGTGGCCGATGTCACCATCACTGCGGTTACGTTGTTCTTCTTGATCCTGTCCTTACTTTTGTCTTCGTCCGTTTTCTCTTCCTCATTCTCGAGCGAATTGGCACACGAAGGCTTCTTCGTCTTCTTCTGATTCGTTCGCGGAAGCTCCTTCGTGGCGAATCTCTGGAGAGCTTCGCGGAAGCATTGTTAGGGCTCATTGGAAGCCTCTGGAGGCGGCCGTGGCGCCTTTCGGCGACCAGTGGGGAGGTCCTCGGGCCATCATACCGGAAGTCGTGGTTCCAGGTCACGTTGCATTTTTGGGGAAGTTGTCTTGAGATAAATGTGGGGCCGTGGTGAGGCCGCCCGTGGGCAATTTGGAGGCCGTCTTGGGCCCTCTTGGGCCGTCAGGACGCCCGTCTGGCTTGTCTTGGAGCGGTTTTCTGTTTTTAACCAGCGATCTCGGACGCTTGGAAGCCTGACTGGGCGAGTATCCGAACGATTGAAAGAAAAAATTAAAACATTTGTTTTTCCCCATTTCGAGCGCCTCTTCCAGGTGACATTCGGGCCGTCTTCGGGCGTCCAGCGGGGGTCTGGGCCGCTTGATGCCATCTTCGATCGTCTTGGGAGTCTCTTGGGCCTTGTGCCAGTTATTTGCAGTCATTTTGGGCCAGTCATGGGGCCGCCTGTGGGCAGATTGGGAGCCGTCTTGGGCCCTCATGTGACCGTGTTTGGGTGACAGCAAGCGCGTTTGGCTCGTCTTGGAGCGCTTTCTGGTACCTTTCCAGCGTTCTCGGACGCTTGGAGGCCCGAGCGAGCGAGCAGCCGAAAGTCATTCGGGCCGTCCTCGGGCGTTCAGCGGTGGTTTGGGCCGCTTGATGCCATCTTCGATCGTTTCGGGTTTCGGGGGCCTCTCGGGCCTTGTGCCCGTTGTTTTGCAGTCGTTTTGGGCCAGTCATGGGGCCGCCTGTGGGCACTTTGGCGGCCGTTTTGGGCCCTCATGTGACCGCGCTGGGGTGTCTGGAGGCCCGCTTGCGCCGTCTCGGAGCGGACTTCAATGGTTCTCCAGCGTTCTCGGACGCTTGGAGGCCCGAGTGATCGAGTCTCCGAACATCAAACGAAAAAACAATGCAAAATCAGTACGTTTTCAAAGTCGAACGCCTTGTGGGGGCGACATTCGAGCCACCTTCGGGCGTCTGGCGGGGGTCAAGGGCAACGCGAAACCAACGTGAAACCATCTTCAACCGTCTTGGGCGTCTCATGGGCCTTGCGCCGACTGCCTTGGGACTGCCACCAACCTGCGCGCACGCCTTGGCAGGGATTGCTAGACCGCCCCCCGGTCCCAAGGAGGGCGTCTGGCCAGCCCGAAGAGTCCCAAATTCGTTCGGGGGGCCGGGTGCGGGGGAGGGGGGCCTTTTCCGGGGTCCCCGGCCGTATACATATATATATATATATATATATATATATATATATATATATATGTATACATACATATATGGGAGATCCCGGCCCCCGCGCCCCCGGCCGGAACCTCCCTTGTATACGCGTGGGTCCCTCCCCTGGCGGCGTCCCCAGGGGCTCCGAGACGGCCCCAAGAAGGCCGAGGAGGCCCCCAAGTGGTCCCAGAGGGCCCCGAGACGCCCAAAGATCGCTCCAAGACGCCCACGATGATCCCAAGACGGCTTCAGTGGCCTCCAAAACGCGGCTAGCGGTCTCCAAGAGGCCTTCCCAAGAGGGTCCCAAGAGGCAAAAAACATTGATTTTCCATTGTTTTTGAAGGTTTTTTGGGTTCTCGCCTTTTCGGAGATCGGACGCTCCAAGACCGCCCAAGAGGCCCCCAAGACCGCCCCAAGACGGCCTGAGACGGCCCCAAGACGGCCCCAAGACGGCCGAAGACGGCCCCAAGACGGCCCACGAGGCCCCCATGACGGCCCAAGACGGCCCCAATATTATATATATATATATATATACACACACACATCATATATATATACCGGGGAAGGAAATCGGGGCCCGGAAACCACGGCCTCGAACCCCCAATTTGGGTCCCCCCCCCCTGGGGCCTCCTCGGCCGCTCCCCGGCCGCTCAAGACAGCCTTTGGGACGCTCCAAGAGCGCCCACGATGGTTTCCAGACTGCCCAAGAGGTTGCCAAGAGCACCCGAAAGCGCCACAAAGGGTCCCCAGGACTGGTCAAGATGACTTCCCAGTGCCCTAGATGGTTTCAAGACGGCCCAAGAGGCCCCGAAAACGCCCCAAGAGGCCCAACGAGGACCCCCACGAAGCAAAAATCGGCACATTGCTTTCGGAAAACGTATATTTTTAGCAGGTTCGCTTGTTTGGTCTCGAGAGCGTCCAAGACGTCCCAAGAAGCCCCCTAGATCCTCCCAAGTCGGCCCCGGAGGCTCCAAGAGGGCCCCAAAACGGCCCAAGAGAGCACCAAGACGGCCCAAGAGAGCCCCATGACGGCCCAAGAGCGGCCTCAAAGGGCCCAAAAGGCTTCCAAGAGAGCCCTGCGCGAGCAGATACATAGATATGGATAGATAGATAGATAGATATATAGATCCCTTGTGAGCCGATTTTGAGCCCTCTTGGAGTGCTTCGGGACCGTTTTCGAGGCTGTCTTGAGCATCTTGGAGGTCTCCTGGACCGCCTTCGTGCCCTCTTGGGGCGGTCTTGATTTTGGTTATTCTTAAAAACGCCCTGGGCTTTTTTTCCAGTTTTGCAGTCTGGGCTCTCGGCACGCAAGAAAACGATTTAAAAAACGCGACATGGTTTTGAGTTGTTGTTCCCCACATCCTAAGTGGGATTCTTGTTTTCTCTGCACACCTCCGCGCAGGATATCCTCCCATACCGGGGGCCAGGGCCCCGGGCCTGGACACCCTCCCGAATTTTCCCTCCCCCCCCCCCCGTAACCCACTTTGCCCCCGGGCGTCCGGAGACTCTTTTGCGCCCCCGGAGGCGTCCACCACGGCTTCCGGGGACGGCAAGAAGCCGCCAAGACGGCCCAACAGCGCTCCAAGACTCAAGATAGCCCCATCAAGGCCCAAGGGGCCCCCAAGAAGCCCCAGGGGCGCTCCGAGAGGCTTTCCAAGAGAGCCCCAAGAGGCTAAAATCATAGATTTTCCTTGTGTTTTCCAATGTTTTTTGCTTGCCCGCGTTTTCGGGCTTCTGACCTTCCAAGATTGTCGAGGAAGCTTCGAACATCGCCCCAAGACAGCCCAAAAGACCCCCGAGAGGCCTCCAAGACAGCCCAAGAGGGCGCCCAAACGGTCCAAGAGGCGCCCAAGACGGCCCAAGAGGGCTTCAAGACGGACCCAAGAGGTGCTAAAGAGGGGGAACACGAACCGACAATGGAGATTTCCGCCCCAATAGGCCCCCAAGAGGCCCCCAAGAGGCCCCAAGAGGCTTAAAAATGCTCCCATCAGAGACCCCAAAGAGGCCCCAAGATGCCCCAAAAGGGCCCCCCGGAGGCTTCGAAACATTTCAAAATTGCCTCCCCCCAAGAAGCACTCCAGAGGATATATATATATATATATATATATATATATATATATATATAATATATATAAAGTGCGCCAGTGGATCTCCTTGGATACACTAAAGTGGGGGGGTCCAGAACCCCCCCCCCCTTCAACAGGGGGGGGGGTCCGGAACCCCCCCCCCCCCCCCCCTTAAGGGGGGGGCGGTCCCGAACCCCCCCCCCCTTCCCTTGAAGGTGGGGGGGGGTCCCGAATCCCCCCCCCCCTCCCCCCTTGGCGCTGGAAAGGGGGGGGGTCCAGACCCCCCCCTTCTCGTGTAGGCAGTACGGATTTGGGAGTAGGGAGTGGTGAGTAGTGAGTAGTGAGTTAGTGCGTAGTGAGTAGTGAGTATTGGGTAGTGAGTAGTGGGTAGTGAGTGGCGAGTAGGGAGTAGGGAGTAGGGAGTGGGGAGTAGTGAGTAGTGACTAGTGAGTAGTGTGTACTGATAAGTGAGTAGTGAGTGGCGAGTAGTGAGTAGTGAGTAGTGAATAGCGAGTAGTGAGTAGTGAGTACTGAGGTATGGAGTAGGGAGTAATGAGTAGTGGGTAGTGAGTAGTGGGTAGTGAGTAGTGGGTGGCGAGTAGTGATTAGTGAGTAGTGAGTAGTGGGTAGTGCGTAGTGCGTAGTGAGTAGTGAGTAGTGAGTAGTGAGTAGTGAGTAGTGAGTAGTGAGCAGCGAGTAGTGAGTAGTGAGTAGTGAGTAGTGAGTAGTGAGTACTGAGTAGTGCGTAGTGCGTAGTGAGTAGTGAGTAGTGAGTAGTGATGAATAGAGAGTAGTGGGTAGTGGCAGTGGGTAGTGAGTTGTGAGTAGCGAGTAGGGAGTAGTGAGTAGTGAGTAGTGAGGAGCGAGTGGGGCGTAGTGAGTAGTGAGTAGTGAATGGAGAGTAGTTAGTAGTGAGTAGTGGGTAGTGATTAGTGAGTAACGAGTAGGGAGTAGCGAGTAGTGAGCAGTGAGTAGTGTGTAGGGAGTAGGGGGTAGGGATTAGTGGGCAGTGAGTAGTAAGAAGTGGGTAGCGAATAATGTGTAGTGAGTAGCGACT